TTCCAATGGAATAGTTTTCCAGTTTCGACAAAGTTTTCTAATGGGTTTTCCAGAGACTGGATTTGTGGAAAACCCTTTGAAAAACGTTTTAAACTGAAAAACCATTCCATTGAATACAGCATCTAACCGACAAACTCCTTTATTTTTTACAAATGAACTTTGAGGAAATGCCGTTCAAATATAGTGCCCTGAACAATTCAGAATATTCAAGTTGAGTCATGAGATTAACGAAGGACAAGGATTAGAAACACCATATGACTCTTATATGACAAATTTAGGGTCACTCTACCCAATAAAAGAAGAAATTAATCAGAAAATAGAGTGGGCTAAATAATAAACTTCCGGAATATTCTGCATCAACTGTTTTGGCTGAGTAGTGAGTCACCTACCGTTTCTGATTTTTGTCTATTTGATTGAAATAATTATTTTTAAATTTTATGCAGTTGGTTGAAATTTATTTGTTTCTAAAGCTGACTTAGGTCATAGGTAACCCTACTAACTTTAAAGATCGCAAACGTGCAGAATTAAAGAACAGACAGATCAAATCAATAGGCCAAACCCATTAGAAAACTTTGTCGAAACTGGAAAACTATTCCATTGGAAAGAGAATCGTCGAAAACCTATAGAAAGTGGTTCAGGTAATTTCAGTCCACTTATAAAGTTAATGTCCGCCTGTCTAGCGAAAAATGCCCACTGTGTAGCCTCCCCTATACTGTATTTGAACATAACACAGGTTTGAACTTGTAACATGTTTTTAAACTTGTACGAGTTCAAAACATCCAAAACTAGATCCACGGAAGCCTTTTTTCATCTCGTTACGAGTACAAAATTCGTACTACGAATTTAACATGAAGTCAGTTGAAGAGACTAATGTTACTTCGAAAATAGTTTTAATAAAACTTGACATGTTTATTAAGTCTTCTTGGTTTATTAAAAAGGAACAAAAGTTGCTTTATAACATACAACACACATGTCATGGTTAACATAAAGAATATATAACAGTACCCAAATTAAAATTCGCACAGAAAATTTGATCTCTTAAAGTTAATCACCCTATTTGCCATAATATTACGTAATGCGGCGTAGGAAAATAATTTTTCTCTCATTTTTATTCTGTTATAATATCATCCTCTCTTCCATTGGTATCTGAATTATTTTTCTTCTTTTTCTTTGATGGTGGCAGCTGTTCGTCGACTGATGCGGTGGCCTGACTGCACTGCTGTTGTGCTGCAGGTGAATGAGTGGTCATGATTGATGCGTGACTTGAGTTCATCACTGATGCATTTTGTGCAGGATCAGGTGGTACAGGTTGGGAATTATTTGTATCTTGTACGATAATTGCATTGTTGTTGTTAAAGATTTGAAACGTATTGCTACTATTGTTGGTAGTAGTGATGGTAGTAGCCGGTGTTGATGGTTGCTGTTGTTGAAGTTGGAGTCGTCGGTCGGTTTCAGTTTGTATCATATTTCTTTGAACATGGTGAGGTAATGCGGGATTTAAACTGAGGGCATAGGGAAGAATTATTTTTGAGATGTCACCAAAATCAATTATACATTTAATGTATATAATATCATTTTTGATATAATCATTATTGTCTTGCAATATCATTGATAACGGAAAGAATTTCGGTATACCGCTAGCAATATTCATTTCACTTCTAGGACGCTGAAAACTATTCGACTTTATATCAGGTCGGAAAGAATCGATAATGTGTTTCTGTTGCCCTGACTGATCAAACAAGCAAAAGGTCACCTTAAAATTAAATGGCCATTTAAGGATAGCATCATATTCGCCACGCATTAGGAGAAAGAAGAGAGACATATGTGTTCGTCGGGCATTACCATCACCATGTAAATAAAGTCGAATACGCATTTTATAACCAGTTGGTGATGAGTAAAAATGTGGTGAGTAGATACTTGTTTGTCTCTCCGATTCAGCATCGGCCATTTTCTCTGAGACATTACTTATCTTCCATGTTAGAGTTCCATCATAGGATATTGATTTTAAATCTTCGGCTTTCTGTTTTACGCTTGATATTTCCTGTTGTAACATTTCCTGATTCGCTGAAACAGCTCTATTATAGGAATCTATCTCCACTATTGACTGTTTGAGTTGATTTTTTTCATTATGACACCATTCCAAGAGATTTTTATGACTTAATGATTCTATACTTAAACGAATCGAGTCTTCACTTAATGTTGGTATGCATGGCGTTAATGTTGTCAGCGTCTCATACATTTGCTGCAGTTGAGAATAACAATCGTTGATAGCTGTCACGGTTGATGAAGAAGAATCAGTAATTGATAATAATGACGATAGATCGAATATTCCAGGCGTCGCTGTAGTTGTGAGATTGTTGGCATCCGGGCGTGATTGAAACACCTGCATAATATGTTGAAGAAACAAATGAATACTTGTCTGATGCTGTTCAGTTAAATAATGCCTAGCCATATCTGATCGCGGAATCTGTAAAGCAAAGATATAGTCATTATTCGAAATGGTTTGATAGTATTCGATATGTAGCATGGTTTGATAATATTATCTACTACTTACTTTTTCTTGTAGGCATCCATGTTTTGCTAACAAACATAATTGTGTTACGTCTCTACATAAATGTTTTTGATGTTCAGCAAGCGAATATTTTGATGACAAGATCGCTTTACAATATTCGCATTGATGATTGTTTTTACGATGTGTAGCAAGATGGGCCTTAAAATGAGTCAAAAAAGCTTTTAGATTCTAATGTAATGATGAATTTAATAATAAAATACCTGGTAGTCTTTGAATTTTCCACTCCATTTGCAACCATCAGCCTTTTTTATACAGATAATTAATACTACCGAAATTTCTTTTCCAAATCCTTTATCAAGCATAAGCTAAACAAAACAATAGAGATGCATAATTCTAAACATCTATAACACTTAAATTTCCATACTTTATCATTTTGCGTCGTTACCGAACATTCTGGACAAATCGTTCTACAAACAGAAAAAAGGAAAGTGTGAAATATCAATGATTTTCAATGTCAAATATTGACGTATTGGCCGCGCTCGTACTTTTAATAACTTTTTAACAGAACTAAATGGAGGCCTGCGACTTCCAGTGTCTTGTAGCCAGAACCTAACAGCATCTTCCTATGTATAAATCTATTCTACCAATGAGGTCTAACACGGTGTATCTGATCGATGTTCCAAAGGCAAGATTGCCGCTTCCTAACTTTTCATACAAGTCTGGGGCTTGCCAATACGCCTAGCATAGAGTGACATATATTCTACATATCTGTCAAACCCAACAGCTCCATCTACGATCATTCAGACAGAAGAGGACTTTTCTTTAGACACGTCAAAACAGGATTTTCTTGATATGTATAAATTTGAAAACGCATGAGAACATAGGTTATCAATCACGCTGAATCTCATGGTCATGTCTGTTTTACGAAAAAGTTTAAAAGACAGTGCTTCGTACTAATTTCTACTACAAAATACGGTTAAGTAGATAAAATGGAGTATATCCTGATATTTTGAAGTAGTTTGGAACAATTTTAATTGAGTTATGAATTTTTAATTTTCGGTGAAAATAGTGAAAAATAGATTATTTCATCTAATACATGTTTCCACTAGTCTTTTAAACTTTTTCGTAAAACAGACATGACCATGAGATTCAGCGTGATTGATAACCTATGTTCCCATGCGTTTTCAAATTTCTATATATCAAGAAAATCCTGTTTTGACGTGTCTGAAGAAAAGTCCTCTTCTGTCTGAATGATTGCATATGGAGCTGTTGGGTTTTGACAGATATGTAGAATATATGTCGCTCTATGCTAGGCGTATTGGCAAGCACCAGACTTGTATGAAAAGTTAGGAAGCGGCAATCTTGCCTTTGGAATATCGATCAGATACACCGTGTTAGACTCATTGGTAGAATAGATTTATACATAGGAAGATGCTGTTAGGTTCTGGCTACAAGACACTGGTAGCTGCACGTCTTCATCTTGTTCTGTTAAAAAATTATTAAAAATACTATTCATTTAGACAGATAATAGTACGATGTATAAAACGTTTTCTCATGAGTTGAAAACAGTTTTGTTACTCAACTTAAATGATGAAGTGACGCAAAAGTCTTATTACCTGGTTATGTATAAAGAAGAGTATTCTCGCTGTTTTTTTTAATATTATGTTTGCATTAGAATGAATCGAAAAACGATGAGTTTTCTAGTAACATATAGTAAGATTTCGTTCATTTTAATGAGAGGAAAAAACGTTTTTGGTTTTTGACTTACTCTGCTTGAGATGGGATACATGTCTGACATAACCGATGACCACAGTTGGTTAATTGCACGGGATTTCTTAAAAGCAACTTGCATTGTGGACAAATAAATTTTGAATCTAATTGTTCTTTGTTGTAAGCGTCACAGCCATAATTCCATTCATCATCACGCTCAATATGAGACGTCTCAAAAGAATCTAAAATGGAGAAGTCAGCCAGGAGCAATAATTCATGAAGGGAGCTATCGATGATATCTTCCTGAAAATTATAAGAAGTTAAACTATATCAGTTTTTTCTGCCGTTGAGTTTGACCAAAAGGACTTTTCTTTTATGTTATTAAAAAATATCATTACTTTTAGCTTTTGTGCATCTCCCCTTTCCGAGCTCGATAAAAGTTTTCAAACTCAGTTTGGCATATTCCTATATAGAGCCAAGGAGCTCTTCTCTCGCACTATGATAAGACTCTATTCAGAAACCCGGAAAGGATGGAATACTCATAAATGATCATTGCAGTCACATAGAGATAAAAGTTTTATAGGTAATATGTCATGTAATTCGTGAAGGTCATACACTTACTACTGTTATCTAGCTGTTGTACGACAGTATTACTGGTCACAATTGTTGTGTCTGAAGGTTGTTCAATTTTTCTATTCGTATTTTCTTTCAGTTGTTGAACACATTTTCTAAATTCTTCCTGGTCGAATGAACGTTGATCTGATTGTTTATTCAAATTAGTTGCCTCAATCGTATTGAAATATAATATTAAATTTTCTTGCCTAAAAGGTTTACGAATTTTGAAAAATTGAGTTGAAAAACTTGTCCATATATCCTGAATATATTCATTTGGTTCATTCGAATAATAGATAAATATATAAGATATTTGATTTAAAGTCGATAATACGGGTAAGTATTCCATTATATCATTAATAGCTGGCAAAATTAATTCTATCCGATCATCTGGTAACGAATTAATAGCGAATTTACATGATTCAATATCATTAAATGAAGTGATTGAAGGAGAACTGTGTCCAACGGTCACCGATTGTGGAACAACAAAAATTTCAGATCTGCGTTGAGTCATTCTCTTATATCTGAAATTTAATACAATAGATTTTATCTTTAATGACGCAGTAATTTCAGAAAAATAAAAGCCGTCCTGCATCTCCAAAGTTCGTGAAAATTCACGTGGTTATGAATTTTTAATATGTGCAGCTCTAACTAAAACACATAAGCTCAAGAATAATAAGTATTTTTACAAAAGCCCATTCACTCGTCCTCCATTTATCGAAACTTTGATAACAAAAAAAATGCGCAATTAGTTTACAAAGAGAAAACTAATCTGTTATCCCTGTCAAAGATGAAGTCCGTGTAAGACGTGAAATCTGTCCACTAACTTTAATCGCTTCAATCGGTACAAAACTTATCAGAATCATATTCGATGATTTCGACCCTTCCGAACGCTTTCAGTCGAATATACCCGATAGAGTCTACTCGAAACAAAAGCAATCATTTAGCACCAAAAGGTTGACCGTAAGATCAAAATTTCTCTGTAGACATCCAATATTAAGCCTAATGCAATACATCACACCATGTGCCGTGAAAAGCTCTGCAATATGTGTTAATAGGAAACATAAAACCTGCTATCAGGCTTCGTTAAATTTCCTATTAACACATATTATAGAAGTCTACACGGCGCATCGAGTGATATATGAATCACTAGAGATCCTCTTTGATTTCATAGAAAAAGTGAACCGGAATTCCCTTGGCATAGCCACGACCTATGTAAGAGCCTAGTAGTAATCTCATAAACCTGCTGCCAGGCTTCGTTAAGCGGTTGCTAGTAGGCTTTTTATAGGTCGCGGCTATGCCTAAGGAATTCTGGTTCACTTTGTTCTATGAAATCAAGGAGGATCTCTAGTGATTCATACATCACTCGATGTGCCGTGTAAAGCTCTACAATATGTGTTGATAGGAAACTTAAGAAAACTAGGCGGCGGTGTTTTGGTGTTAAATACTGCGCTGCTTAAAGCCAAAATGGGTCCGAAAATTGCTCGCCACCTTTGTTTTTCATTTCGTCGTCGATCATACAAGCTAGAGCACGTTTGAAAAAATATTTGAACAGCTGGAAGAATTTGCAATCTGATGTTCTGTATAAAAAGGTTCTGTCAAAGGTCTCAAAACCAGGGTCTTTGGAAAACCAGTATGTCATAAAACTAAGTCCTAGAGTTCAATGTAGAATGTCTTTGCAAAACCGTCCGTCGTATAAACGTTTCTGAAGTAAATGAGACGCCTTCAAGCTCGTTACGACATTTTTCATGAAACAGCTTTCAATTTGCGGAATATCCTATACCAGCAAAACAAACTGGAAAACAATATGATAAGCGCTTACGGCTTATCATAAAACCTGCTGCCAAGCTTCGTTAAGTTTCCTATAAACACATATTGTAGAGCTTTTCACGGCGCATCGTTTGATGTATTGCATTAGGCTTAATATTGGATGTATACAGAGAAATTTTGATTTTACGCTCATACTGTTGGTGCTGAATGGTTGCTTGGTTTCGAGTAGATTCTGTCGGGTATATTCGATCGAAAGTGCTCGGAAGGGTCGAAATCATCGAATATGATTTTGATGAGTTTTGTACCGATTGGAGCGATTAAAGTTAGTGGACCGATTTCACGCCTTATACAGACAGCGAGAAACTATATGCCGATCGAGCTATATGTATCAATTCGGATATGAAAATCTATCCCATTTTGAATCAAAATATTTCCCGATCAGGATATAGCCCAAAAACATGTATCTCAATCCGGATATAAATTCGACTTTTGTAAAATTCATTAGCGAAAAAATGATGATATTCGGGGAAAGTTTTGACCATAACGCAGCGCAGCGACGACCATGCTGAAGCGTTAACATCACTCAAGTTCTGCCGGCTGATAGGTTATGTTCTATATCATCTTTGCACTACAAGCGCCACATTAACTAGGTCTTATTTTTTGCCGGTTTTAAACTGCCGTCGTACTGTAAGGAAACTATATCTCGATCGGGATACACAAAAAAGCAGATATCCCGATCAGGCTATAGGAATATAGCTCGATTGGGATATCGAAAAAAATATATCCCGATTGGACTATAATATCTCAGTCGGGATATATATCCTGATTAGGATATGGTTCCTCACTGTCTTAGTGTCAATACAAAAAACTTCAAACTTTAACGTTTTATCTCAACAACTAGCTAATTATTACTGCAATCTCTAGCCATATTAGTAAGAAAGATATATAAACAACGCACATACAGAAAATATTGTTTTTCGTCTCTGGCACATGAAAAAACTGTTGTATAATATCAACCTATGCATCTTCCGTACTAATAGAGCTGGAGATATAAAACTTTACAGTAATAACTAGTGATAATTCTAGTGGGTGAAGTGCAAAAGCGATAAAAACGATGCCTCTGATGATTAGTATTGAGGAGTATTGAGATTAGTGTGTTGCTTAGTTGTGAGGCTTTGCTGTGTAAACTCTGAATTGATTTTACCGAAATCTTCTATTCACTATTAGGCATGCACTGGTATCGGTATACCGAAAACAGCGATGTTTTGACTTTTTCCATCTGAAATGATATAGTTTAGCATCCTGGACACCCAAAAAGATTTAAGGATGCAGAACAAGAGTTTTGTTTGTTTTCTAAGGCCAAAGTTTTCCTTTATTTTTTATCTACACATGCTCAGAATACACGGCAGTGTCTTTTGTGCTTTGACTGTCCATTAAACTACCTCATTTCAGATGAAAAAATCCAAAAAAGTTCAGATCGAAAAAGGTCGGTATTTCGGTACGGATACCGATAGCGGCGCATACCTATTCACTACTGACACAACCAACTAATTAGAGCAATTTATCATCTCTACGGGTAGCAATTTGTGTAAAATTTAGTTGCAGCTTTAAATTTTTGTTTGTTCGACATTTAGATGTTTATTTGTCAATGTTTTGACAGTTTTACTGTCATTTTCAAGCCAAAGAATTCTATAAATGTACGATGTAAAATGTAAACAATACAAAAAGAGAAAGATATAAGAAAAATAGATATACATCTCTCTGTATTGTTTACATTTTACATTGTACATTTATAAAATTCTTTGTCTTGAAAATAACAGTAAAATTGTCAAAACATTGACAAATAAACGTCTAAATGTCGAACAAACAAAACTTTAAAGCTGCTGTTATCTCCACTAAATAGAACTTCTTTATTTAAATATAATTCTATAAAATCTCAAAAATTATTTCTTTGCTAAAAGTTATACATTAGAATAAGTGTCTCTAACAAATGCCAACTAATACGAAAATAGTCATTCTAAAACTGAAGAAGAACATCTGATTAAATAAACTTTGAATTCGGTTAAGGGATGAAAAATTAGCATTTTCAACTTATGTTTTGAAATTAAACATGTCAGTGAACACGTAGTTTACACTCAAATAAAAATATAACTGATACCGCCTCAGAAGAACTAATATTGTTTAGAAAAAAAATAATAAACGGATACGGTAGATAAGAAAAATTCTTAAAAAATATAATAACAGTACAAAAAAAAGTTATCTTTACACTTATTATAATTTACAAGACGAGATGACTACTCAAAAAAAGTAGTTTCCAAGTTAGAAAAATTACAATTTGTTATAATCTGACGACTCAATGAAAAGAAAACAAATATACATATAAAACAAAGACTGACATATCAGACATAATGAGCAGAATTAATTGCATGCTGGAATATTTAAATTTTAAATTTTATATTTGCGAAAATTTATTCTATATTGCTTAATCCAATAATGTATTGTACAGTTTCAACGATCTTTTGTAATTAATATTAGCTAATTTCATAACGCCAGCCTTCTTATATTCATCCCCTTTTTCTGTCCAGTATAATGCTAAATCGAGGACAAGTTTATTGAGTAAACGTTCTTCAATACTAAATACACCCCACACTTTCGGGTATGCATCTGACCATATTGCTAACATTCGAAAATCATCTTCGGTACAATAAACGTATACTGAATGTATTTGTAGTAAACTATGAACAGTTAGAATAAAATCTCTAACATTTTCATCGGATATAATCAGAAATATATGTTTATCAGAGTGTGAATGTATATATTCTAAACATATCTCCTTCTCATTGAAGAATAGTATCGGTTCATCAAGTATTTTTTGTGTTCTGTTTGCAATTTCTCGTTCCCAGAGATTCCTACCATACCATATAATAACCAGTAAGTTCAACAAGCCTTATTAATAGAAAAACAGATGACTCGAATTAACTAAATGAAGTTGTTTTGATCTATTTTGAAGTGAAATATAGTTATAGTACATCAATTCTTTCAAGTTCAGATATTTTCGTAATGTTAGCTTCTTTCCTTTCATTAATCAGAAAATGAATATTTTTGCACAAATTCCAACGAAAATGATTCATTATTATCTCTAATAGGTAAACATTTCAATAGAAATAGCATAACAAAAGCAACGGCTTGAATCATTTTATTTTAACTTCTACCGTTTCGTTTTATTTTAAAAATTATTTTGAAGAGTATAGGAAGACGAAGTCTAAACTAGGTATGCACCGAGTTTCCAGCGACCAGACAACCCAAACGAAGCTACCCGAAAATTAAAGTCTTTTCTCTGATGGTTGTTATTCTCAGGCCTTCACATTAAAGAGGATCCCACACTTTTAGATTATTTTGCATGTTAACTTCATTTACACTTTACGCAAGTAACCTGAACTCTTACCTCTCCTTAGTATTTTGCCATAAGAAAAATTTCGTTTTGCACTTAGAATAAGACGTTTTCAATTATTTTCGATTTCGAATAATCGATGTTTGATCGAAATGAAAAATGTCTCGCCCCCCCCACGCTCCCCTCGTAACAGAAGCCCCGGGGCCTTCTAAACTGTCCAAGCGTTCAAAATTTTTACAGAGGCTTCTAATAGGTCTCACTATTTTTCAAGGATTTCACGTACAAAAATTTTGTAACAACTTTTAGGGTTATCCAGAGTTTTCCAGAGCTTTTCGAAGGAATTTTGAGATTCGCATGCTGGTGTGTAAAATTTAAACGAGTTTTTACCTTAAAATCCTGAAAATTTGATAGTTTTTACTTTAGAAATACTAATAAAACTTTCACAATACCTACAGTTCAGATTACTTGCATAAAGTGTAAAATGAAGTTAACACGCAAAATAATATAAAAGTGTGGGATCCTTTTTAATGTGGAGGCCTGAGAATACCACCCATCAGAAAAAAAGACTTTAATTTACGGGTAGCTCGACCCGATACATATCTAGTCTAAACGGAATGAGATAAATTTATTATTATGTTTTTCTGATTATCTTTCTCTTTTTACTCTCTAACGTATTCAAGTATTCACTAGTCGATAATCAGTTAGGTCTGAATCAGCTTTTCAGTTTTTTCAGCTCTGAATTGGAGTCTGAATCAGTCCTGAAAAAACTAAAAATTATTTTTCACAAAAATATTTATTCTTATCTTTGTCTTCTCGCTGATTCCGAGCTAGATATCCTGATTGGTACTTTCAGGGCTGATTCAGTTAAAAGATAGATTCAGTTAAGATAGATCCTGAGTAATAATAAGGTTTCATTGTGTTAATTTCATACTAGTAAGTCTATATAAACTAGGCATGTTCGCGCGACAAAAGTTAGATATCTTTCCGTCTTGATTTACAAAATAAGCGTTTACTATCAAAGTGAACACAACACTCAAAAGCTTCGTCGCCCTGTCCTTTTGTCACTCACTCGAACAGTTACAGTTTTATCAGTAGTCTGAACGGTAGGTATTGTGAAAGTATTGTTATTATTTTATTTTCTATAAAAGAGTATTGATTTTTGTTGTTTCCTAATTTAGTTTTAGCAGGTGATGCTCCAGTGTTCTTGAAATTCATGCGAAGGGGTTTTATTTTGCAATATTGTCTAATCAATTTTTCCACATTGTAAATGAAAGTTGTTTTGTTTTCTATTTTCATGCATTGTAACAGTTTGTTGAACTATTTTTGAATTTGCTTATGCAATAAAAAGACATTAAAAAACACACTTTGACTTCTGGTGTCGAGAAAAATTTGATGTTTACAGGAGCTTTTTTCCTCGAATAGCTGATTTAGATTTGAACCAGCTCTGAAAAATCTGAAATCAACACTTTCAGAAAATTTAGCTGACATGAACTGATCAGTATTTTCAGCTCTGAATCCGGACGTGCATTTTCATGAGATTTGAATCAGAGCTGAAAAAAACTGGAAAGCTGATTCAGCTATTCAGATCTAGCTAATTATCGACTGGTGTTAAAATATACTAAAAAATAAGAAAGAAAAATGGTCACGATAATCATTCGTACTATTTACTCATAAAAGAAAGCTTAATGATTAAGAAGTTAGAACCTAAATTAAACTGCACAACTCACTCGGCTCCGATCAGTAAAGATGAAATAGACTATACACACACATGTAACAGTGTCAATTAGGAGTGATACTTTACTTTTACTAATTATTACATTACTTGGTAAATGTAATAAACATTTGTTACTTATCATTTCATAAAGAACAATAAAGTGACACGCCTAGTGCCAATTCTTTTCCTTTTTCCTTTCTTATTCTATAGCTTATTGTAATTATTGAATAGGTTAGAAAAGAAAAAGAGAAAAATAATCAGAAACCGAACAGAAAGTGCAAGTACTGCACATCATATATATATGTATATAATTTATCTCACTCCGTTTAGACTTCGTATTTTTATATCCTTGAAAACAATTTTTTAAATAAGTTGAAATGTCAGAATTTAAAATAAAATAATTCAAATCGTTGCTTTTACTATGCTTTTTCAATTGAAAATGATTCAGCTTGCCGTTTCTTTTCGCTCTCATCCTCTAATTTTTTTCATCTGTCATTTTCTGTGGCAAGATAAAAATTTTAGGTGGCAAGGTATAAACTATCACAAAAAACATCGAGAACTTCTGACTTTACTCAACTGGTACCAAAACATATAAATCTTTTTAAAGAACTTACTATCATCATCTGTTTCTTCAGGTAATCTTACATCATGTTTACCATGAGAATCTAATCGGTTTGTTGATAAAAATGATGATGCTGTTGTTATTTGTCTGTCTGTTGCCATATTTGTTGTCGACGGCTGATTAGTACTGTCGTCCGGACGAGGTTTAGAATTACCATTAACATTCTCCTCATTGTCACATAATTGTCGGTTATTGATAGAAGTAGCCGTTAATGGTGATTTTTCCTTGTAATAACAATTTGGTTTTGAGCTACAACTAGCAAGAGCTTTACTGGAGAGTTTTCTTTTTTTATTACAATATGGTTGAATAGATAGATAAATCATTTTTCTCCAATCTACAAGAATAAAAAAAGCTGAAGTTATTTCGCAACTACTTTACTTGGTTAGTTCAAGAAGATTGATAAACGTGTTGAACTCAATTTCTATGGATGTAACGCAATGAGAAACAGGATAGAAGTGCAATTTAATATTCTCATTGCAGAAGAATCTGTTAGTGATCACGAAGATCCTCATGCGTCGATAATATAGAAGGCTGAAAGTATACAAGTGACCTGGCTAAGCAAAGATCATATTTCTGTTTTATATAAACTTACTCAATGTTTATATATATTTTGTAATTACAATGACTCAGACTGTGTGTGTGTACAACAGAAACAGAACGAAAAATAGAAATATGTTTCAGTTCACCTTCAAGCAAAATAGCAAAATGCGGAGAAAGAAAAGGATACAAAAAATGAATGGAGAACGAATGAGAAAAAAGATGACGTGTAATTCCGGAGGAAAAAAGAATGTTCTTCCCAATTTTTTTGACTAATATGTCCTTGTCACGCATTACTGTTCTAAGAATGCTCTGCCTCCTCCCTGTCTATTCCACAGTCTTTAAACAGTCACAATTGGCACTAGTACGCCCACATTAACGTTATAAGGTTTTCATTAGAGATGAGACCGTATTCGTAAGAATTCACTAACGTACGCTGTATATAGTGACCGCTTACGTTTTTTCTTTCCTATCCTTTCGTGTATGGTCAGTGGCGTATCAGTATAGACACGCGACGAAATGGAAAAGAAAATATCTTGTGACTATTTATTTCTGTTTCGTTTATACGAACTTTCATTTATCATATGAATATATCTAGATATATTTTCAAACAAAGTGAAAGTGAATAGACAAACTTTCACAATTTGTGAAAGTATGAGTATTTTGACATGTGTATGAGGCGTTATATTTTACTAGAGCCTTGAACAAGGAAAAAAAGAAATGTCAAAAGTTAGAAGGAAAACAAAGCACAACATTTACAACTACTGTTACATTTTTCTAGATCCTGCTTCTCTCACTCTAGC